ATCACATAGGTCTAGTTTTTAAAAAATAAAGGAAAATATAAATTTCAGTTAAAAATGGATAACTAAGACTTAATATTGCAACTACATCTTCGCATAGTAAAGATTAGACTGCTTCGACTATAAAAATAAAGTTAAAGTGTATACACTTCTTATTTCACTGTTATTAATCTGAAAGAGTATTTAAAAATGGAAGATTGTTACATACATGTGTAATATTTTTATTTCACGTTTCCATAGGTTCCATAACTACGTCTACTATAGCTGTATCTGTTGGAGTTTCCATTGGATAGTCATCAGATTTCTTTTTAATTGAATATAACTTCTTCAGCTTTTCATAATGTTTTATATCCTGTAAGTTATAATGTGTTATATCTCAATGTAGAGATGTAGGTCATATATTTCTGAAAATACATACCTTTTCTTGTACAGATGGTCTTATTTTATCAAATGCAGATAAAATATGCCGCATAGAGATTTCTGGCTGTCCTGAATAATGTATATCCATTAATTCTCGTAATGCTTCTATGCCGGCTTCTCTGATTAAAGCTGCTAAATCTGCTCCAGTATAGCCATCACACTTTGTATTAAATCCTATTTGTTCAAGGTTTACATCCGCAGCTAATTTTGGTTTAGTTGCATTCTGTATAGATGAATGGTTAAGAATTAGAATAATAGAAGTTACCTTGAAAACATTACCTTATTTATATACATTCAATGCCTAAAATACCTTTGTTAGTGCTCTTAAAATATCAACACGATCTGTTGCAGTAGGCAAATCTACATACAAAATTTTATCTAATCTTCCTGGTCTCAAAACTGCTGGATCAATAATATCAGGTCTATTACTAGCAGCCATTAAAAATACTCCTCGACGTTCTTCTACTCCATCCATTTCTGTAAGCATTTGATTAACCACACGCGACGTAGCAGAATTATCGCCATCCGATCGCCTTGGACACAGAGCATCCAATTCATCAAAAAATATAACACACGGTGCAGAATTTCGCGCTCTCATGAAACATTGTCGAACAGCTTTTTCACTTTCACCAACGTACTAAAAGAAAGCGAAATTGCAATTAATACGAAGTGCAGTCATGTAACTCTTGACATGTAGGTTAATCAGAAATTTACTAGCCACTGTTTCTCTTGTAAACGTAAATAATAAATATGAGGAAAAAATAAGAGAAAATATATCCTTTCGTTTCTATACATGCATGACTCTAAATGTAACTGTATAGTATCTAAATTCGCCTTGATAGATGTCCCAGTAAATAAAAGATAGTTCTATCCCATATCTTTTAATTTTGTCCTCTCTCATATTTTCTGTATACTTATCCTTTATGAGGAAAACGCTGACGAGCAAATGTGTGACTATGCATAAAATAATTACCATATTTAAAAGTTCTGGCCCCTTAACAGATATAAAGTTGATACCAGCTTCATTTGCAATCGCTTTGGCTAATAGCGTTTTGCCACATCCAGGTGGACCACATAATAATACTCCAGTAGGTGCTGTTAATCCTAAGGCTGTAAAATGTTCGGAATGTCGAACTGGACCCTAGATTATTAAATTGAACAGAAAAATGTAACTTAAAAATATATGTTTGGTCTGTTTAGACAAATAAAGAACTTTTAAAGATATATATATATATATACAACTTTACCAGTATAGCCATTTGTAATTCCTCTCTTATATCTCGTAAGGAACCAACATCATCCCATGTAACATCAGGTACAGTTGCAAAGCCTTCCCTTTTAGCTGATGGTTGAATAACGCGAAGAGCAGTTTCAAAATCACTGTGTTCAATACATAGATTCTTTAATCGTTCTGAAGAAAGGGGTGGATCATTACGTAACCAAGTGAGTAATGCTGCTAAATCTGGCGATTTTGAATTTTCTGGTATCACATCCATCTCGACTAGCGCTTGAGGACTTGTAGCATTGTTAGCCTTGCTTAATTTGGCGATGTCTTCTTGATTCGAAAGAGGAGATTCAATAGTTACTTCTTCATCTAAATTACCTGTATTTTCAAAATTTTCCTTTTCAACATTCGGTTCGGCTTCTTTCACTTCCGATGATTTAATATTCGGTTCAGATCTGTTTACATCTTCAAGTATCCTAGTAGAAACAAAGTAAGTGACTCGATTTGTTATTTATAATACAATGGCTTTTAAATATGCATCAACCGTTAAAAACGTTACCTATCCACAGCTGCCATAGCGGCTTCTCTAATTAGTGCCACTAAATCGGCTCCAACGAAACCTGGCGTTAGCGAAGCTATTGTAGTTAAACTAACATTGGGAGCGAGTGCTACTTTCTCTGTATGTACGGTTAAGATGATGGTTCTTGCATCTCTATCTGGTATACCAAGACACACTTCATGATCAAAACGGCCGGCTCTTCTTAATGCAGGATCTAATGAATCGGGGCGATTTGTAGCTCCAAGTACCAATACCCCAGTGCCATTTTGTTTGAAACTCAATTCTGTATGACAAAATATCATTCTTTGTTGAAAAATTAAATTAATGGTCGACTAATATAAAAAAAAATCGAAAATTATAATTAATACGATTTAGTAACAGTAACAATTTACCATCTAAACATGATAATAACTGAGCAACAATTCTTCTCTCCATCTCCCTCTGAGCAGTAGCTCTGTGGGGTGCAACAGCATCAATTTCATCTATGAAAATTACACATGGTGAAACTGCTAGTGCTTGTTCAAATAAATCTCTAATTCGTGCTTCACTTTCTCCTGATACTCCTGCCACGAGTTCAGGTGCTGCAACTTTTAGTAAAGGTATCTCCAATTCCTATGTTGAAAGTAAAAAATTAATAATAAAATAGGAAAATATATAATAATTTAGAATCGCATCTTACTCCTGCAATAGCATGTGCCAGTAGCGTCTTGCCACATCCAGGTGGACCATGAAGTAAAAATCCTCTCGGTGGTGATATACCAAGTTGTTTAAATATTTCTGGATGCTTCATGTGAGCAAGTAGTTTACATACAGTTTTTAAAACTTTGTCACAACCGCCTATGTCAGTAAATGTAACTTTTGGTTCTGACACAGGCACACCTTTGGCCTTTTTGACGACTGGATTGTTATCTATCTCTTTATCACGTTGCCTTTTCCTATTAAATTGTTCAATCGGTGTACTAACTGCTGCAGTTTGCCGTGCTTCTTTTGTAGGCTGTAAATAAAATATTATAAAATTTAATAATTTAATATGCAATATAAATATTTTTATAACTATATTAATGCAAATAGAACATTACTGCTTTTCTCTGTTCAATGTCTTTAGAAGGTATAGGTTTTTCAACATGTGAAGATGGATTTGGTTTCATCTGTCGGTTCACCAGTTTGCTTTCATTCGTCTTATTATAAGTATTTGAATCTGCTTTACTTGCATCATCATCACTGCTGATGTCTATTAATTCTTTGTCACTGGAATTCCCATTTTGTTTGTTCTGTGATTTTTTATACATTTTCAACAACATACCATCCAACATAGTATTTTGGGGATCTGACTATAAAATCAATACATCCCTTTTCAGATATGCTACAAAAATAATATTCACATAACATGTACGTCAATACCTCTACATCAACGTCTTCTTCATCATCTTCATCCTCATAAGCAGGCCAATCACAAGGACAATGTTTTTTTGCAAACATTTCTGTGAGTTCGTCGTATGCTTTGCGTACTAGAGCTCTAAATGGGCCTCGTTTTTTTATACGATAATCACGATATTTCTTTTGCAACGTATCTGCCATTTCATTAACATCAATGTAAACTTTATTTTCATTTTCATGCATATACTAAAAATTAAAAACATATGTTTAAAATACAAAATGTAAACAAATTTTATTCAAAATGCAACTTTAATTATATATTTTTATAATTACATAATAAATTAAAGTTAAATATTTTGTGACAAAATATTGTGATCAGATTAATTATATTTAAAGCAATATTATGTGCAATTTGCAAGTGTTGTATAAACGATAATAAATAATTTATTTCTACATGGACTTGAACACTGTAAATAGTTGATAAGGTGCTTTTGCTATGTACTTTAAATGTTAATACGTAAATTTACCGCGCAAAGTGCGCATTACGAATGTAAACTTGATCTACATAGCTAAGTTAAAAGAACTCTCAATGAAGAAAATCTACGAATTACCGTTTGTACACGTGAAATCAGTAACTGATCCCGAAGATCTCTATGAGAAAAATCAACTTTCGGTTTATTATTCACTGGTTTCGATTTTGAATCACCGCTACATCCTTGTAACGGAATGATATCAATCGACGAATTCAATTTTCCAACCTTCTGCATTTTTTTACTGTCAGGAGTCATGAACGGTTTGATAGAAATCAAATAATCATCAAATCTTTAAGCTTGGCTTCTTGCAGTTTTTAACATGTGCTACCATGTAATTATTATTACCAATATTCATCCACTACTTCATTTCTTAAACTGTAATACAGAAAAGAGGTTACATATATCACAAGAGAAAGAATAACCAACATTCGAAACGGGTTATGTTGGAAGTATAGAAGTTTGAAGATATATAGATTAGCATACCTGTAGAATTTTTTCGCACATGTGTAGTACACTTTAGCGCTGCTAGCATCAAGAATTTCAATCAGAGTTACGTCTCTGATATACACTCCGTGTTCCCGTGTTATGCATGTATAGTATGTACATATATGTATATACGTATGTATTGTCAGCAGTGTAGCACACATGCGTATTTCACAGAAAACGATTGAAGTATATTTTGTGAAAGCTTCGTATTCGTAGATTCGTACCATATTTTTCAATTAGTCGACGACAAACCATCATGGCGATGGGTTTTACTTGCGTCTTTCATTTACAAATGAAAAATTCATTGTGATGGTCTGAGCAGAGCTTTTCTTGTAATTATTTTCAACATTCACAGGGTCCTAATATATTATTTTGTTTCTGTTATTTTTATATAAATTAGAAATTTCATTATGGTAAAATTAACAGAGGAGATGGTTGTAGCTCGGACACGAGTGTCCGATTTCTCTGCCGTTAAGAAACTTAATTGTTGGTATGTATTTGAAAAGATGTTACAGTTTTCAAATAAATTCAATTTTCTCCAACGATTGATCAATTTATACAAATAGGGGTATTAAACTGACAAGTTGAATGTTCTAAGTATTTTTTTATCATAGATCCAACTATGTGATTTACAGTTCATTTTGCTATATTCTTAGTTAAGGAGCAATTGTCCACTGTAAAGTATTCTTGGATTTGTTCCACTATTTTACTAACATTTTATCAACATTTGTTTATTTAGATTATGAAGTGTTAACCTTTGAAGCTCACTTAGTTATTACTTTTTATGAAAAACCATTTCATGTTCAAGTAATAAATAAAATTTACTACAATATAATTATAATAATATGCATAATGCACATTTATCATGATTCTTTTTAAATTTCTTGTTATTTTAGGGGTACAGAACTTACTGATGTGAGCATTTTACGAAAAATGAAAAATGTGGAAGTGCTGTCCTTAAGGTAAATTCGATTTTGTTATGTTTTGTTATAATTTCTCCAACAAAAGTAATATCATAGCCCTTGTTTTACAACTAAATGCTATTATGAAAATTATATTATTTATAGCTATGATTTAAGTCTTTCAAATCTGTTTGTATCAAGGAAACTCTAATGCACTCCTACTATGGAGAGGTTTGTGAAAAACTCAAGATCATAAGCACAACCTACATATGAGGAAGTTGTTCTTCCCACACATTTTGAATTCATTGTAATATATTTTCCTGTGATGAGAGAAAAAGAATTCAATGTTTCTTCACAACAACATCAAATATTTTTATCTGCAATTGATAATGAATAAAAATATTTTATCCAATCATATTTGATACTCTTTTTCTAAAAGTTAATTACATTTTATTGAAATCGGTTTATGTATATACATATAACTTGGTAATTTGCAATTTCTCAAAAGCAACATTTTATATTTACATTACATTTTCTTTTTAATTATTTAACAATGTATTTAAAATATTATTCGATTTTGTTTATAAGTTTCTTATACCTGAAAAAAGATATTGGGTATATTGATGATATTTAAATTTATTTTCAGTGTGAACAATATTAATACTCTTGCTGATTTCCAATATTGCCTAAGTCTCCAAGATTTGTTTGTAAGGAAGAATAACATTAAAGACTTAAATGAAGTATGTTACCTCCAAGGTCTACCTAATCTACGAAATTTATGGCTCGGAGAAAATCCTTGTGCTGAAAAAGAAGGGTAATATACTTTCTATTCTGTGTCAACTATTAATATTCAATTTTTTAAGAGGGCTTGAAATCAATTATTTTTATTAGGTATCGGTTTGCAGTTCTTAGAGCTTTGCCAAATTTACAAAAGCTTGATGATAAAGTAGTTTCAGCAGAAGAAGTACAAGTAGCTGTAACCCGAGGTCATATTCTAGTTCATCCCCTGGATATTGACGCATCTCCACCTCAGTCAGAAGCAGTGAGTCCAGAGGTAAGATTATTCGTAAAATACTATTTTGTGATGTATTTTTATAGAATGTTTTCATTTATTTTATCACCAAAGACTTTATTTAAAACATTCATATAATTTGGGTATCACTGTATCAACTACTGATGATAACTAGTGATCACTTGCTGTTATTCGTGAGAACTGAGAGATTAAACCTAAGGAGTTCACAATATAAATTTTAAGTTTCTTAAGATTTGGATGT